TTGAAAAAAAAAATTAAAAAAAAAAAAAAAAAGACTCCTGCCTCTAGGGGTACCTCGGTGGCTAAGTTGGTTAAGCGTCCAACTTCAACTCAGGTCATAATCTCGTGGTTCGTGAGTTTGAGGCCCGAGTCAGGCTCTGTGCTGACAGCTCGGAGCCTGGAGCCTGCTTCGGATTCTGTGTCTTCCTCTCTCTCGGCACCCCCACCCCCTCCCTCCACCCCCAGCTACTACTCTGTCTCTCTCTCTCTCAAAAAAAATAAGCATTAAAAAAAAAAAAAGACTCCTGCCCCTAAAGCTAGAGGCGAGGAACCAGGAGGTGCTACTTGCAGATAAAGCAAACATACACACACACACATACTCTGGATGCCGCTGCTTTTTAAAGACCGAGTCCTTGGTCCTGCGAGGCTTTACGGTCCCAGATGTCCACTCTATACCACTAGTCCCTGAGCTTTCCAAAGTATCACACAGATGCCTCATCAGAAGAAGAGCTACAACAGTAGGGAAAACCCCAGCATGGCCAGCTTTGGGGAGGAGAGTGGAAGGTGCGGAAGACTGAGGCTATGATTTGATTTGGGGCAGGTGCAATTCACCTTGTGGACAAGGCAGGACTGCTCACGGGCAGCAGCTGTGTTTCTGGTGGTCTCCAGGCTCACCGCAGTGGCCCGTCTCTCCGGGTTAGTGGCGAGGATAAACTCCCCGATGACTTGTGAGCTTCTAGATCCTGAGCTTCCAAGTGCGCTGCCCAGCCTAAGTGGCAGTCTGATTTCTTCTGTCTCTGAAATCCATGATTGCATTTTAATAATGAACCCCTCAGGCAAAACCGCTGAAGGAAAATGTTCAGCAAAGAGGGTTGAGGTCTTCGGTAGCTTGGTTCCACGGCAATGCCTCCTTTGTTCCTTTGCAGTGTTGTTTCAGTAAAAGGTCCAGCGGTACACTTGGGGGTAGTGTACAAGTTTGGTTTCCCCATGGTTCTGAATGTCTTCATCTAACTGCTAATTCAGGGAAGGTTAATCTTGGGACTGTTAACTCCTATGGGGTCCAGAGCAGGTTTTAGAGGGTCTGTGGACCTCTGGAAATTACCTGTATGTGAAATCTTGTGTGTCCAAGCCTACAGGCATTTTTGGGGGAAGAGGTCCTTAGGTATTCATCAGATATTCTAAGAGATCTGAACACCCCCTTCTTTCCCACACTACAGATTGAGAAGGAGACTCAACGATTTCCAAAGTTTTTTTTTTAAGTTTATTTATTTTGAGAGAGGGGGGAAGGGAGAGAATGAACAAGAGAGGGACAGAGAGAGGGGGAGACAAAGCATCCAAAGCAGGCTCCGTGCCGACAGCAGAGAGCCTGATGCGGGACTCGAACTCACAAACTGTGAAGTCATGCCCTGAGCCGAGCTCAAGAGTCGGACATTTAACCAAATGTGCCACCCAAGCGCACCCTCCCTTTTCTAAAAAAAACTCTTTTAGCTTTTCAAAATCACCATTGGCTTGAGTAGAAAATGCCCAGTTGTGCTAAGTGAGCAGATTGCTGGTCAGTTAAAGCTTTACTGCAAATCAATTCCCAGGAGAAAAAGGAGACGTGAGAGCTTCTTCCGACTATACCCCGTGGGCCCAGAATGATGGAGGCCTCCAGAGAAGCCAGGAGAGGCACTTAGGATTTAGAGAGTCCCTCTCCCTGGCGGTGTCCCCTGAGACATCCTGAGTCTCGATTCAGGGTCTCTGTGTCCTTCTGGCGGTGACGAGGGAGGTGTCAGGCGGGGTACTAAAAGTGCCACCCAGCAGCCTCTTTTCCCAAACTGTGTTTTGACGTGGGAACAGAGGACTTCTACCTGTGAAGGGCGTGGAGCGGGAGGGGGTAGGCGGCTTCCATTATATTCCCGGCAGAACTTCTCCATGTTCTTACCGCCCCTGGCCTTGTAACGCAGGTGAGGGTGGCAGCTTCCTCCACGAAGAACATGCCTTTTGAGATGACTTTTCTCCTCTTTATGCACGGAGGTGAACTGCTCTCCAGGGTATGCTGTTCAGAAGGAGCAAGATGCAGACCCCCGTTTCCAGTATGCGGACGTTTGTGTGCAAAGGGGGAGAAAGAACGTGATTACATGTGTGTGCGTAGTCAGACCGTGAAAATGTTCTCATCAACTATAAAACTGGCTGTCTCTAATGGAAGCAGGGAGAGCGGGTGGGAGGAGGAGCTTTCACTGGTACCTTTCGGGAGCTTTTGGGTTTTGAGCCTTGTGAATTTTATTACGTATTCAGAAAAATAAAATTTGGCTTAAGATCTGGGAGGCTTCTAATCAAGAATCCCCCTCCCTGATCCTTGAGCCCCAGCCCGAACCCATGGCCTTGTGCCTCCCTCTGGAGCACGGTGAGTCTGGGAACTGGTTGTTCTGACACCGACTCCAATGACGTTTTACGCCTGGGTGTCCACCTCCTTTGTGACCGCACCCATTTCAAAATAAAATCTGTAGTTTTCTCTAGCTTGCTCAAGTTCAGTTGCACTTACTTTGCCTTGTTTTGTTCTTTGCAGGATCCAAGTGGAGCTATTTTGGTAAGTAGAGATCTTGCATACTTTTTTATTTTTGAGGAGATGGCTGTATTTAATGAGAAAGCCAGAAACTCCACGATCTGTGGAGGTGATGGTGGGGGTTGAGAAGAGCAACTCTGCTATCATTAAAAGGGGGTACCCAGGCTTCTGTAAAGGACGGTTCCACCCAGGTTCCACGCAGCACTTTCTCCAAGCCGAGGAGCCTGCTCTGTGCACGTAAACTGTGAATCCCAGCGTTAAGGTTTCCAGCTTCCTGCAAGGATTTCTACCAAACCTCCCAGGTGAATGTGCCTGGGTTACCTCCAGACTGCAAGGGCCTTGGCTAGGAGAGAGACCTTCTCCTCTGGAGGACATTTATTCTCCAAAAAAACAAAGAACAAAGGGCTCCTTTCTGGAAGTTTGGCTCAGGCCCCAGGAGTTAAGCTGTCAGTGTGCCTAGGATTAACTTCTTGTTGCCATGTTTGTAAACAAGCATAGTTCAGGGGTAGTGACAGTCAGTCCTTCGTGAAAGAGGGATGCCTGCCTCGTGCACGAGGAGAGAGAGGGACATCGAGTAAGCAATGGGGTTTCTGCGGGATTGGCTCAAGAATGACATTAGCCACTTCTGGCGGGCCTGCAAGGTTAGCAGCCTGAGATCAGCCCAGCTGCTGTGTCGCAATGAACTGGAAATTTGGTCGTCAGCTGGGGTGGGAATGGAGGCCAAGTAGCAGGTCCACTGACAAGCACAGGAATGTTAATAATGTCTTGTTAGGGACGGTCACAAGCAATGGGGAAGATGGACTGGTATAGTGAGGACGCTGGGACTGCCTCATTGGCACAGGAGGAGTGGTGACAGGCAGAGGAGTTGATCTCGACAGCGTAAGCAGAATCCAAAAAAGGTCTGCCTTAGATTTGCAAAAGCTAGCCTCTGGATGTTTGTTAACCCAGGAGGCACGGCAAAGTCACTGAGCTAACTAACCAATGATCCTACAGGTCAAGGTCCCCTGGGTCCTAGCACTGCATGGCTCCATCATTACTAACATCCCTTATGTATTTGCTGTGTGCAAGGCACACTGCGGAGTGCGTGGGTGATCAGAAGGGTGTGCTGTGGTCTGTACCTGGGAATACTTTAAGCTCACAGTTCAAAGCTAAATAGATAATGACAGGTAATAAATGGCTCGGTGCTCTGATGGTTCAGAGGAGGATAGAGAGGGTTAGGGCTGGATGGTCAAGGAAGGCTTCCTGGAGGAGAAGGGCTTTCACCTGGGCCGTGGAGGATGGAGAGGATTCAGTGTGGTGGTGGATTCAGAGAAGTGGTGTTGGCCAAGATGATGATGGCATCACATGAGTGGAGGCAAGAAATAAGGTGGTATTTGAGGGGCAACAAGTACAGAAAGGGTTGGGGCATCTGTGGCTCAGTTGGTTAAACATCTGACTCGATTTCGGCTCAGGTCATGAGCTCATGGTTCAGGGGATCCAGGCCCCGCCCACCCAGGGCTCTGCACTGACAGTAAGGAGCCTGCTTGGGATTCTCTCTGTCTCCCTCTGTCTCTCTGCCTCTTGCACACACACACACACACACACACTCTCTCTCTCTCTCAAAATAAATAAACAAATATTAAAAAAAAAAAAAGAGTTATAGGGGAGTGATTAACTCTAAGTTTGGAAAGATAGGTTGGATTGAACAGGGGAGATAGGCAGGGGCAGGGCAAAGCTTTCCCACTTTTTCCATAGATGGAGGGGCAGGGCCGGGAGTAGTCTGTGTTTTAGGGAGAGTCATGTGGCGGTAGGGGCTGAAGAGGGAAGGAAAGGGCAGGGCAAGGGACGTGACGAAGGAAGAACCCACAGAGTCTGGGCCCCAGGGCTCCTCGGGAGGGTCAGTGTGGGGTGGGGGGGGGCGTCAGGAGTGGTGCAGAAGCGTTTCTTCCTGACCACGGGCTCTGGCTGGCACCTCTGTAGCAGCCCCCTGCTGAGGAAGCAGAGGGCAGAGTCTAATGGTGCGTGACATTCGTGGGGTGAGCACAAAGACAGATCTGGCTTCCTGTTAGTGACATGAGTACACGTGATGTGGAGTCAGCCCTCAGTGGGGGCCAGTGAAGGAGGACGAATGAAGGATGGCTAGGGACGGGTCCAGGCTGGCAGTGGGCACCTGTGCTCAGCGTCACCTGGCGAAACAGAGGGCCTGGCATAGGCGCTCGGGGGAAATGGTTTCCAAACAGTGAGGGCTGCCCTGAATGAGGCGAGTCCAACCAAATGCCACGTGCTAGTTTTCCCAGGCTGCAGACCTCAGCTACTCTGCACGTAAATGCGGGTGAGTCATCCTGAACCAGGGACCTCCCAAGGCCTGGAACACAGGGTAGGACTTCTAGAAGCACATGGAAAGAGAGCTCTTCCCCCCTCCCCCTCCACAAAGTCACCAGGCTGAGCTCCCGGACGGCCCGCCTGGAGACAGGAGAACCCTCTGATAGGCAAGATGGCCCCCCCACCCCCGGTCCTGTGCACCCCTCTGGGGTGGCTGGGGCAGCAGCTGGGTGCGTCAGCGGGGTTTGGAGCTGCCGAGCAGGCCCTCCCCACCGCTCGTCAGTCCCAGATCAATCCTGCTGAGCCCGGGAAGCTCCGCCGACTCTGGACTGGAGGGCACTTCCAGTCAGGTTGTCCTGTGAGCACGAGATAAACACCAGCCCGCTCAAGTCACTGTCTGCTGACGGAGGTCAGGGTAGCCGGGGCCCTCATGGGGTGGAGGTGACTGGAAGGAGGCACCAGGAGGGTGCTGGTCACGGTTAGTTCCTTGGTGTGGGTGCTGTGCTCAGAGGGGGGAGAATTCATCAAGCTGTTCACGGATGCTCCATGCACTGTTCTGTACGTGTGTTATATTCAATAAAAGAGTCAACCAATTCCAGCTGGCTGGGAGAGTCGTCCTTACCCTGGAAGTTTTTTTTACTTCTCTCCCCACAAAAACGCCCCCCAGACCCCTTAGTGTGTTCAAAACGACAGAGCAGCCAAAAAGGATGAGTGTGTTGGAACTAATGACCTAAGGACACGTCAGATGAGCAGAGAACGGGTGCCGTGCCCCATCCCTGAGCATAGCAGTCATTGCTACGGTGCTCCTTAGATGTGAGCTGGCTCAGAAACAGATACCATCATCTGCTAGAGATTTGGGAGACAAAAGATAAGCCTTCAAAGGAGATGGGCTGGATGGGGAACATGGGGCGGGTGTCCCACTCTCCCGGAGTCGGGGCCCTGCAGGACATCCGCCGGGTCAGCCCCACCATCCTGGTGCAGGGAACTCTGGAACGACGGTGGCGTGGCCTGGGGGCACCGGGCAGTGGGCTGCAGCCCCTCACAGGCCCTCCTGCCCAGCGTCTCTGCCATGTGGCCGGAAGGCCCTGGACTCTGGCAGGACTCCGTGTGATCCAGGCCCTGTCACTGCAGTCCTCATGCTGCTCCCCTTGGTCCCAGACAAAAGATTTTCCTTGGGAATCAGGCAGGGATCCTTCACGGGGCAAACCTCTCTGGTTTTCCCGACTCTGGGCTCCACCCACCTTCTGTCCCGAATCTTCTGGAACACTAAATTGCCACAAACAAGCTTTCCCTGACACATGACATCCTTCCCAAGGCCTTCCCAAACTCTACAGGCTAGATACGAAACAAGGGGGAGGTTGGGGGAAAAACTCTTCACTTTCTATTCTTTAGTACAGATAAAGGCAACTTGTGACCTCACTCTCAAATGTAGTATGGGAAGCAGACTAAGAGCTAAAGGGAGAACCTAAAACACAGGTAGGAAGCACGTGCAATTAGTTAAGAACAGATCTTGTCTTAGGACTCCTGGGTGGCTCCGTTGGTTAAGCGTCCGACTCTTGGTTTCGGCTCAGGTCATGAGCTTGTGGTCATGAGTTCAAGCCCCATGTTGGGCTCTGTGCTGAGCTTGGAGTCTGCTTGGGATTCTCTCCCTCTCCCGTTCTCCCTGCCCCTCCTCTGCTCTGTCTCCCTCTCTCTCAAAATAAATGAATAAACTAAAAAAAAAAAAAAGCTCTCATCTTTACCAAAGATAAGAGCCCAACCAACTCCAAACACCCCAGTGACTCCCCTCCCCTGCCCCGCCCCCGATTCCAGTTGCTGTCCTGAGGGTGAATGCCAAGAGGCACAGAGCACTGTGAGGAGAGACAGCAGGAAAAGGCTGGAACATGTTTCTCATACCAGGGAACTGAATCCCCAGCCCTATGCCTTAGGGATTTCCCTTGAGGCTAGCAATCCAACCCACTATCATTTATGAAATCTGTGCTGTTTTTCTAGTTACTTCGAACTGAGGTTGTGACATCCAGGGTCTGTTAGGATGTGGTATGGTCTGCCTACTCATAGTTGTTTCTCATCTCTTCTGAGCTGTGGAATTGAGGTTTGTGTGTTCGGGGGGATCCTGGCCTGTAGCTACCAAAATGCCTGCATTTTAGTGTTCATGGCTGGCCTTACCAGCTGGGTAGTACCATAGGGAAGCCAGGATTAGTTCCTAAAGGCAGGTGTAGTGGCTCGGGAGTGGGGGAGGCAGAAAACCAGGAGGAAGAAGTGGAAAGTGTAAGGAACCCAGACCCAGGCAGACCTCCATGAATATCTGCTGGGCCGCTTTCTGGCTGAATGGCCTTAGGGAAGGAACTTAACCTCTCTGAACTTCAGTTTTTTTCAACTACCGAATGGGAGTAATAGCGTCTACTCCGTGGTTCTCAGATCAGTAGCATCACCGTCACCTGGGACTCGCGATGCCCTTCCCAAACACTAAGAAAGAACTAGAAGAGGAACACATGAAGGAGGCTGGGAGGAACAGCAACCTCTTCAGCTCCGGTTCTGTGGCAGTGACAAAAGCACCGTGTTTGATTTTGTTAGAAATGCGAAACCTCAGGCCCGTCCCGGATCTGCCTACAAATTAAAAAACTGGGGCTAGGCCCAGCCATCTATTTGGGGAAGCCCACCCGAGGATCCTGAGGCCCACTGGTGTCTGAGAAGCACGGGTCTGCTTCATGGAGGATTGAGTA